TTCTAGCTTCAGCAGGAGCTTTCTTTGATGCAAAAGCTTCCACTATAGAGCTTAAACTCACCAAGGAGAAGATCTTAAAGTTTGACAGCAAGGGCAACAAGCTGGAGCATGAACATGCCTTCTCTATGGAGCTGACCAAGATGAAAGGAGTTGACAAGAACTGGCCAGAGTTTGAGGGCTACCAAGGAGAGAGTTTTGATGGTTATTTCTTGTCAAGACTGTTTGATGAACCCACTGAAGAGGAGGTCCTCCAAATGGTTAGTTTGAAGGAGCTAAATGGAAGTATGCTGGTTACTGAAAAGGGAGAGGTGGTTTTGCAGCCATATGGCTCAAAGAATGGTGAGGTTTGCTACAAGATACAGCAAGAGGGAAAGTCCAAACCTTTTGCTAAGATCAAGCTGAATGGAGTCACCACAAGAGTCAAGGGAGGCAAGATGACACCAAGGAGTTCCAAGACTCCTTCTCCTCACCTCCACTAGAGAGGTAATCAAAGTCATGCTAAGTGACTTTAAGCAAGCACACTTGGGAGGTAGTCCCATGGTATCCTTTGTATATATTATGCTTTTTAGTTCATTTTTATGCTTTGTTAGTGTCTTTAGAAGCAGGAGTTTGGTTTGGGGCTTCAGAAGATGTTTGGGGAAAGAAGAACCGATGCATCTTGGCTACTATTGGTCACCGTATCGTTCAAGACCAGACCGATACAGACCTATCGGTCATCATATCGGTCATGAAGTGATCGATTGTTGTGGAGCCAAGACGCATCAGTAAACCTATCGGTCAGTTATGACGAAATAGGGAAAAGGAAGTGTAAAGTGTGAATACTATCGGTCATCCTATCGATCAGGTAGTGACCGATGGAAATGCATCGGTTGTATATCGGTATTTCGGTCACTCTATCGGTCAAGCATGTGACCGATAGGATATAGCAGGAGAGTCATCGGTCAAGCTATCAATCACAATATGATCGATAGCACCCTATCGGTCACTTTATCAGTCATAAAGTGACCAATAGCCCCGCGAGGCTAGCCTATCAATTTTCAAAAAAATTTCCCTCTATGGGTTTGGAGCCAAGGGGGTTTAAATTTAAATTTTTGGCTCCTTCCTGACACTCAGCTGCACTTATGAACACTTTTATTTTTGTCTCCCACCCACTCGATTCCCTTGGTTCCCCATTAACCTCTATAAAAGCTAACTAGCTCCTCTTCTCTCTTCACATTTCATTTTCTCACTTCTCTCACCTAAAGCACAAAATTTTATCTCTCTTTTTCTCTTATTTCTCTCTCTTAAGTGCTCAGAAGCTCCACAAAGGTTTGCTTTCTCAGCTGTTCATCTCTTGTTCTTAAACTTTTAGTTTGTTTAAAGTTGGTGAATCTATAGCTTTAAAAACTATATTTGCTTAATTTAAGGTGTTTTACTTTGATTTTGCATGGTGGATATGATTAATATGAGCAAGTAGGATGTTTAGTGCTGTTTACTGTTCATAAATCTAATTCTTACTTGTTTTAATACCACTTTGCATCACCATCTTTACCTTTATTTAGAGCCACCATGCTAGGTTCACATGCATAGATGTTTGAATCTTGTTATGAACTCTAGCATGTTTATGACTATTAGCTTGTGAATTCCCTTAGCTCTGTAAAAGTTTAATCTTGTTTAAATATTAGTTAAACTTCTTTTAGCTTAGCGAGATTCTTTTTAAGGCTTTTAGTCACTGGTTTCTCAACTGTTGTTCATTTACTCATAGCATCTTCAAGCTTTATTCTTGTAGGTACCATGGGGAGAGCAAAAAATGCTCCTGGAAGCAAAGGGAAAGCACCACAAGAGGAAGCGCCAACTTCTCCAAGCACTAGAAGAGATAAGGGCAAAGGTGTTGCTGATAGGCAGTCATCAAAAGTTGCTGGGAAGAAGCCTGTTGGAAACAAAGCTGCCAAGCCCAAAGGAAAGGGCAAAGCTGTAGAAGAAGAAGTCTTATACAAGGAGCCATATGCTAGAGAACTAATGGAGCACTTCAACAGATGCAACTTCAAACCTACAAGCTACCCTTGCCCCTCCACAATGAAGGCGCTTGGGATCTATATGGATTGCAAGACAATATTTGAGCACATGGGGCTTGGTGATTTTATGGGAAAGCCACTTCAGTCCTACAAGCAGCTCACCTTACAATTCCTCTCCACTTTCAAGGTGGTTAGCTATGACGAGAGTGAGCTTTCCAATGGCGATGGGTGGATATCTTTCAAGCTTGGCAAGCAAAGATTCACAACAACCTTCTTTGAGCTCTCTCAAGCGCTTGGTCTGATGTCTTATGCTTACAAGAGGAACAAATTCCTAATCTCCCAAGGGCAGCACGACATGCTATTGGGCGTGATTGGAGCTGGCAAGTTCATAGCTGGAACAACAAGGAATCAACATCTGAAGCATCCTGCAGTGAGATATGCTCATAAGGCTCTAGCAAACACAACTTTTACAAAATAGGAAATAAAAAATCTCACAGGAAAGGAAAAAGACTTCATATACAATGGGATGCATGAACTTGTGGTTACCAGCAAAGATGGAACACCTCTAGAGCCGCCAAGCAGATACCCATGCTATGTGACAATGCTGATGGAGCAGCTCCAATCCTATAGGAGCTCGGTTTTAAACAAGGGCAAAAGGGAGAGGAACCCACAGCTCCATATTGGAGGAGTTGTGACAGCCATTCTGATGGCAAGTGGTGTAAACCTTGAGGAATATAAGGAAGATGCTTTGGATCCATTGTGGATAGATCTGGACTATCTTAGGAAGAGTCACTTCCTTGAGAGGAGTATCAAAGGGAAGCATGTCTACAACTTTCTCAAGAACCTCAAAGACCCAGCGAGATTCCTCCTTCCAAACCCAGAGCATACATCCATCACTATGAGGAGCAACATCAGTTTCTGCCCAGGTGAAAATCAGCTTTACCATGGAGGCCCTATCACAGAAGAGAGAGAAGATGATCAAGAAGAGAGTGAAGAGAACAGTGTGGAGGAGGTACAAGGAGAAGTTGCTGCTGGCGCTGAAAGCCAAGAAGAATCCCAAGAAGAAGAGCTTGATGAAAATGAGGTGCTGAACTACAACACTAAGCAGTTCCACTTCAAGCCTCATGAAGTCCCAAGCCAGGGGAGCTCTCTGAAATTTGCTCATGAACATATTAACAAACTTCAGAAATGGTGTAAATGGCAAGACAAAACCATCAAAAAGTTGGTGAAGATGGTCAAGGGTAAGTTCAAGAAGGATAAAGCTACATCAGGAGGAGCTTCCTATCAAAGCCATAGTCATGAGTACACCTCTCACCATGAAGAGCCAATCCCATAAGCTGAGCCTACTGAAGAAGAGGAAGCTGTTTGGAATCCCCAAGGAAGACACTCCTTACAAGTGCTACCAAGTGATCAATGGGGAACATGGGAACAACCAAGAGCTTCATCTTATGAGCCAAGGTCCCATATACCATCAGCATGGGAGGCGCCAGCCTATCCTTCTTCTGTGGTCCAAACAACATGGCAATGGGATACTCAAGATAAATCATTTCAAGCTCAAGCGCTATGGTTAAGCTGGGTTCTTCCACCTCAAGAAGCAGCAAGATCTTCACAAAGATATGAGAGGAGGAACAAGAGGAGAGCTAGCAAGTCTCCACAGCCAGAGACATCTGGATCATCTCACCACTCCTCTCACCATATTTAAAAGGTACCACATCCTTAACATTGTCTATACCACTGAATTTTTTTAAGTTTTGTAATATATTCTGTTACTTCTCTCTCTCATTACTTTCATTATATAAAGGAATGTGTAATTTAAATGTGGGAGAGAGATTTGGGGTTTGACTTTGTGTTTTGTTTTCTTAGTTTTTCATCCTTTTTATCTTGAGTCACATGCATATCATGCATTCATATAGGGCATAGAAAATCACAAAAAAAATCAAAAATTTTGAAACCAATCTACATGTTTTTGAAAACCAAAAAGAAAGAATATAGTTGTATTTCATTATCATAGGATTGAGTCTAGTGTTAACATATAGGTTGCATTGCATTTGCATAGGGCATAATGATGAATCTTCCTTGTAAAGTGCATAGTGTTTAAAGGTGATTTCAATGTTTAAGTGGTTAGTTGTTTGATGCATCATGAGAATGATAGAAATAAAGGCTGAACCATGCTTGAATTGCTAAATTTGATCTCTCATCTCATACTGAAGGCATCTGTTCTTTGAAAATTAACTCAATCTACTTGAACCTTAATTTGAATCTACAAGAACGGCTCCTACGGCGTAGTCACAAGCATCACACATGATCTCAAATGGAAGAGACCAGTCTGGTGCTTGGACTATGGGAGCTGATGTAAGGGCTTCCTTGATGGTCACGAAAGCCTTCAAACACTCCTCATCAAATACAAACTCAGCTTCCTTGCACAACAGCCATGTAAGAGGGCGTGCAATCTTGGAGAAATCCTTGATGAAGCGCCTATAAAACCCTGCGTGTCCCAAGAAGCTTCTGACTCCCTTAACATTAACCGGCGGCTCAAGACCCATCATGACCTCCACCTTAGCCTGATCAACCTCAATACCCTTCTCTGATATCTTGTGACCGAGCACGATCCCTTCCTTAACCATGAAGTGGCATTTCTCCCAGTTCAGCACCAAATTTGTCTCTTCACAACTTTTTAGCACCCTGCAAAGATTCAACAAACACGCAGGAAAGGACGCACCATAGACAGAGAAGTCATCCATGAACACCTCTATCATCTCCTCTATAAGATCGGAGAAAGATCGACATCATACACCGCTGAAACGTAGCCGGTGTATTACACAATCCAAGCGGCATCCTTCGATATGCAAAGGTACCGTAGGGACATGTGAAGGTCGTCTTCTCCTGATCATTTGGGTGAATAGGTATTTGAAAGAAACCGCTATACCCATCGAGAAAACAGTAGTAAAGATGATTAGCAAGTCTCTCAAGCATTTGATCAATAAAAGGCAAAGGGAAATGCTCTTTCAAAAAGTAACATTAACTTACACACCACATGCATGACATATTATATCATCAATGGGCCATATTCTACAATAACTTACACAACACATGCATGGCATATTATATCATCAATGGGCCATATTCTACAAAGCAAGGCCAGGCTAGGCTCTAGGCCCAACGGCTGTAAACCGCCATAGCTCATGCATCTTAATTTCCATCCGTCATCCCGACCTATATGTATCGGACCGGAAACTACGAAATTATAATTTACTATATCGTTACTTTTAATTTCAAGTAGTAGTATTAAGAGAATAACCAAAAAAACATATATTTGTGTCATAAACAGTTTGGCTGAAGAAATCCAGCTTCTATTCCTCCGGCGTGAATACAAGCCGATGCAGCCGGTTTATTCCGGTACGTTAACTTCACATCCTGAAGTCGAATTCCGGTACACGGTTTCGTAGGACTACAATCAAGTTTCACCCCAACCTCAGTCGCTGATGTTCCGTGTATATCTACGAACAACACATCGCTGATTTTGATCCCCGAAACCTAAAAAATTAAAAGAGAAGTTTGATGAATCTCCAAAATATCAAATATGGCATATGTATCTGTATATTATTACTAAATCAATATAAGCTAAGTAAGAACCTGGCGAGGGCAATTTTCGTTGCGAGGACAATAGTTTTGGTCAATGACTATGGGATTCTCTACGTTGTTCATAACGCAGTGTTGGAAACGGATGTTCCTAGCGAATCCACTACTGGCCCTGGCCCATGATTTAATCCTCACTCCGTTATCTGTTCCCTTAAACGTCACCGTTTTCACTGTCACGTTCTGTACACCTGCTTCCACGCTATCCTTCCCCAAGCTCCCAATGCTGCAAATGCAATTATCCCAACCATATATATAAATTTTTTTTTAAACAAACCAACTGATCAAAATATAATTTTAAAACATTATGTTCATATGTGTGAAGATATGAAATTAACTTTGTCATAAGGCTAATATTGAGTTATATAATTTTAACATATGTTATTTAGTTTTGTAATGGAATGCATCGTATATACCTAATGCCGTGACCGAGACCACATGCGACATTTTCGATCCAGAGTCCGTTAGTGCCGGGACCGATGGAGACACAATCGTCGCCGGTGGAGATTTTTGTGTTGAAGATTGAGACGGTGGAGGAAGACTGAACGTGGATACCGTCAGTATTGGGGCTGTTTCCGGCGGCTGATACTTTGACTCCTTGAAGCTTCACGTTGTTGCAACCGTTGATTACAACGTGGAACATCTGGCTGTTGAGTGACGTCAGGCCGGAGACCACGACGTTGCTTGAGCTCTGAAACCCTATGGTCTGTTGATTCACATGATCAGACTCAAACCGCCTCATTTATTAATTAAATCATTTACGTATATTGTATATTTTAGTATATGATATTGATACATATATGAATCCATGGTTGGTCACTTGGTCCACGTGAATTGTGTTGGCTTGTTTTTAAGAAATCGTTATAACTTCATAATTCAGAAAAGTGTGTCATATTCGTTATATATACTCTTATACATATAATAATTATATTTTGGAAATTAATCAAGCAAATGTCTCTTCAGAAAATTAACTTCAAGTTCTTGAGCCTTATTGTTTCTTGTTTATCTTGCAATGAAGCAAGCTAATATATAACTAATTAGCATTGACATTCATACCGAGAATCTAGTTTTCTTCTTACTATGAAAAATGGCGATGTCTAGTGGCATTGGCTTAAACGTCCCAAATTTTAATGTCCACAATTTTTATTAATAAAAAATGTCCTAGAGAGGATTTTGTAACAAAAGGGAAATGTAAAAAATGCAAAATAGTAGTGAAATTAATGGTAAAATTTGAAGACGTTACTTACCGTGGCTCCGCTGGGGCAAGTCTTGCCGGACTTTTTACAATCCCATAGAGAAGCTCCTCGAGCGTCAAGAACTCCGCCGTAGACGGTGATGCCGTCGAGATGGTTGAAGAAAATCCAATAGTCTTCATTTCCGATAACTCGATAATCAGCCGGAGCCACCAAAGTACCGTCAATACGGAACGTGACCTGTTTGGGCTTGCACTTGGACCCGTCGAAATTAAGGCTCCTATACTTTCTCAGCTCAGTCAGGAGCGAGTGCAACTCATCATCACTAAGGTTTTCATTTACAATCACGGGATAGGTGTTGTTAGGCCCTAAGAAAGCATACCTTAGCCCTTTTGGAAGCTCCGTAAGGTCCATCTTTGGGGCTAACAGCTCACTCCATTCATCCTCGTGGCTGTTGTTGTTGCTTTCCTCCCTGGAACTCTCCTTTGAACCCGAGGCATTGCTCTTCAGACCGCTTTCCTCCATCGCTATCCCTTCTGAGATCGAGTCCTCCGGTCGATTCTCCTCTCGATGTCGTCTAGATCGAGCCATTTCTCTCGATTCACTTACTCGATTTGATATGGATCGAGTAAGGGATCGAGACGCTGAGTCGATCTCTTGATTGGACCCCAAAAGAATCGGAAGGTCTCTCTCGATCGTCGACTCGATTGCTTTTCCTGATCGAGCATTCTTCTCGATCTGTCTGTCGATTGTTGCACCTGATCGAGTTGTGTTCTCGATTGACTTGTCGATCTGACTCCTGGATCGAGTGATAGCGTCGATCTCGGGGTCGATCTCTAGGCAGCAACCTTCTTCATTCTTAACAATCCTCCTAGAATCCAACAGGTTCACGTACTCCTGGGTTCTCTGGTCCACATAGCCAAACTCCCCTCGCTCCTTAGTCAGTGCTAGCTTCAGATGGTCTTCTAGAGCCAGCTCTTCCAGCAACTCATCCGCCAAAGCATCCATCATTTCAATATAGAAAGCTTGTCCTTCAATGGTCGGCTTCTTTAGAACCTTGTTGATGTCGAAGTCAAGCCTGATCTCCTTTCCCAAATGCAAGGCAATCTTCCCATTCTTCACATCTGTGATAGCCCTGGCGGTTGCAAGGAACGGTCTCCTTAAGATGAGTGGATCCTTAGGCTCTTCATCCATCTCCAACACTACGAAGTTCGTAGGCACGTTCACACAACTGATTCGCACCGGTAAATCTTCAAGCAGCCCCACTGGTAGTCTCACACTCCTATCAGCCAGTACCAATGAGATCCGACAGTCTTTGAAACGAGTAAAACCAAGCTTCTTGGCCACAGAGTGAGGCATCAAGTTTATGCTAGCTCCGAGATCACACAAGCAACTCTTGAACTCTAGAGGACCCAAAGCGCAGGGTATAGTGAAGCTTCCAGGGTCTCATAGCTTCTTAGGCACTATCTCCTTATGTATAACCGCACTACACTCTTCACTTAGAACAAGTACCTCCTTGCTTTCCTTATTCTTCTTCACGAGAGTGTCTTTGAAGAATTTAGCGCATTTAGGCATCATTGCAAGGCAGTCAACCATAGGTAGCTTGATCTCCACGTCCTTAAGATGCTTCTCGAAGAGGATTCTGTGCCTCTCGATGAGTTTCTTCTTAAAGTGGCCAGGAAAAGGCAGCTTAGGTACGTAAGGTGGAGGCACATAAGCGTTCTTCTCCTTGGTGGTTTGCTCAGCTTTCTTCTCAGCAACTGCTTTGTCTCCTCTTCTTGGCCCTTGGATCCAAACGTTGTCAAAGTTAATCTCATCATCATCAGCCGAAGGTTTACCCTCCCCCTCTTGGATTACAACATCCTCGTTGTTCTTGGTAGAGACCGGAGGTTCGAGCTCTTTGCCACTTCTCAACGTTATAGCATTAGCATACTCCTTGGAATTCTGCTCACACTTTCCCGGAAGACTGTTCTGACCACTCGTACTTGGTTTTCTTTTCTCCAGCTGCTTGATCTTGTTGTTTAAATTGGTGATCTCAGTGGAGAAGTCGGTGAGAGATGAGTCTAGGCGAGTGTTCATTTCAGCGAACTTCTGGTTTGTAGAGGCTTGCCCTTGTATTAGCTGTTGAAAGATTGCTTGAACCGGATCAACTTGTTGTTGCATCGGTTGTTGCTGCTGAGGTGCAAAGCCCGGAGGGTAGTTAGGAGTATAACCCTTGTTGTTTTGTTGTTGCCCTTGGAAGTTGCTCTGCCCTTGACCTTGGAAACCGCCACTCGGTTGAAAACCTTTGTTGTAAGGGATGAAAGGTTTTGCTTGCTGAGTAGGGTACACTTGATCTTTAGGGTTGGCTACGTTGGTGCTTCGGTAAGAGAGGTTGTTGTTCTGGTAGCCTTGGTTGTAGCCTTGAGACTTGTAGTTGTTCTGTCCTGCCACCCAATTGGCTTCTTCTTGGCTCAACTCTAACTCCTCTTGGTTCTCATCAGCTTCACCAACAAAGTGAACATGCTTCTGATTGGCTAACACCAGCTTATCTATCTTCTCATGCAAGGATTTGAGCTCCTTCTTGTGAGACTCTAACTCTGATCCTCTCGGTGCACGGTCATAATCTTCAGCGTAGTTTCCATCACTCAACGCCAAGTTTTCTATCAGCTCCATACCCTCTTCTACATCCTGACCGAGGAAGTTCCCTTTGCTAGCTGTGTCAAGCAACAACCTGATCTTTTGTGAGGCTCCACGGTATATGGTACTTAGTAGTGTCTCCTCGCTGAACCCGTGATGAGGACATTGGATCGTGTAGTCTTTGAAACGCTCCATTGCCTCGTTGAATGTCTCGTTGTTCCTTTGAGTGAAACCACTGATTTCGCTTCTCAACCGTGCTGTCCTGGTGCTTGAGAAGAACTTTGAGAGAAAGGCCTTCTTACACTCGGCCCATGATGTGATGGTGCCTTGTGGGAGGGTCTTCTCCCAATGTCTAGCTTTGTCTCCGAGTGAAAAGGGGAAGAGACGCAGCTTGAAAGCATCTTCGGATATGCCATTGATCTTGATCATCCCACATACTTGCTCGAAGTTTTCTAGCTGCTCCAAGGGGTCATCCATTGCTAAGTCGTGGAACTTGTAGTTTTGCACCATGGAGATGAAACCTGGCTTAATCTCGAAGTTATTGTTTTGCACAGGAGGAGGAGTGATCCCAAACCTATTGTGGTGGGTATTGGGAGCATCTCCGGCTCCTATGATCCTTGGGGGTCTAGCCGCGTGTTGGGGGTTTCCATTGCCCTGTCCTGCTGCCCCATGAGCTGGAGGAGGTCCTTCTGGATGCTTGTGTTCAGCCATAGCTTCAAAGTCAACCAAACCGTGCTGAACAATCTCCTCAAAGGCTCTTGTTTGCTCTCTGACTCTCCTTTGCCGTGAGTGACCAAGTTGATGAATGTTGTCTAAGGGTTGTAGTAGATTGTTGTCTCCCCTTGAACGAAGATTCATGTACCTGAAAACACACGTTTGAGAGTAGAAGAATTAGTAACTTGAAAAAGGTAAAGACTTAGTCTTTGTTAAGACCCAAATCTCTATGTTCTCTAAACAGTCCTAGAATGGCAACGGCGCCATTTGATTTTTATGCTCGGTTTATATTGCAGAGAGGTTATCAAACTCAAATGCAAGACATGTTGTAGTACAGCAAGCAAGAGAGAGTTAATCCACTCCTAGGATGATAGAGAATGCACAGAGAATACAGGAACTAATGCAAATCTAAGTGAAATGAGATGGTTTATGAGAAAATCTCTAAAAACTAGATGCAGCAACTTAAACATAATGAAACCTATTTTAAAAATACTAGAAAGGAAGAAACTACCACGAGAAACAAACAGGATAATTAAAGGAGAAAGCTTCGAATTATTAAAATTCGACTAGTGGTTCGACCATGAGATCGACCACTAGATCGAGTAGTAACAATCGATCTCGTCTAAAAATGTAAGAGCAGTAAAACTAATGACCAGGATGCTATCAGATATCAAGCGAAAGATGAGATAAGACGTAAAGATGCTAAAAGAAAGGGCCTAGGGTTGAGATTCATGGTTAGGGGTTTCAAAGGTTCGACCTTGGGTTTGAAACTTTAGATCGACTCACTTGGTGAGGATCTCTAAGCCTTGAAAACAAAACAAGATCTATCCGTGGCTTTCGGTATAGATCACTCCTTCATCCTCTCCTCCAAACCCATGGCTTTTGGTGGAAAGAGAGGTCGAAGGGCAAGGAAAACGGATTTCAACGAATGGCTTAACTAATCCCCCAAACTTCCATGGCTTTTGGGCAGGGGTAACTAGTTTCTAAGGTGTGATCTTCCGAGGCTCCTGAATCCTGTCAAGGTAAGGAACCTCTCGGATCATGAAGCTCTTGGCGTGAGAGTCTTCAAGCATTAAGATCTCAACACCTTAGAAGAGATAGCCTTTAAAAACGTTTAGAAAAACCCCAAGATCGAAATCCTTTTTACCCCTTAATCCTCTCAACCCCGAACCCAAAGAAACTACTCGCTACACATAGAGTAAATCAAGCAAAGCATATGAAACAAGACGATGAACATGAAAAGAAAACTAGATTGAACAGAAATGATTCGAATACAAAAGCTTAAGAGAAAAACGAGTTCAACAATGGTGTTCTTCACAAAAACCAGAGAGAAAACATAAAGCAGAAGATAAGGATAAATATTGTTATGGGAAAAGGATGTCGCCGCCTTCCCAAAATGCCGAAACAAGCTAATGGTCCCCCCTTCGCTAGCAGCCAAAAACGGTTGAAAGGACAGAGATCGACTCCAAGATCGAGTGGTTCTCTCGATCATATCCAGACATCGTGTCTTCGGCTCGATCTGGGTCTCGATCATCATCGGCGAATCGAGTGTTGCATCCGATCTCGGTATCGATCTTTGGCTGGATCGAGTGGTGTACTCGATCTGACTCTCGCTCTGCATGGTGTCATTTACGTCCGTACCGTTTGATCGATTGCTTCACTCGATCCTTGTCTCGATCATTCTCCTTGGATCACCTGGTTGGCTCGATCTTCTGGTCGAACAACTCCTAGATCGACCGGCCATGCTCGATCTGCTCCTCCTCGATCTCTGGTCCTTAGCATATTTCCGAGCTCCCACGAACTGCTACATCAGCCTCAACACGTCCACGAACCTCCACGAC